ACTAATATTGAAAAGAAGGACAACTTACTCTTTGAAAATACGGTTGTATAATAAATATACAAGAAAATTACTAAAAGTAAATTTCAGCATGATACTTGTGTTCAGGCATTACTCAGGTTTATTTGCAATAGCCATAAAATATATTCAGTAACTAGGAATTTATTATAGCAAGTAATATATAAAGTAGAGTGAAATAAGCCTAAGCACTGTGTAGGACCCTTCATAAAGGCAACTGTAATTAAATGTGATCTCAGTCAATGACACCAGTATGACAAAATAGTTCTGGAAGTTTAGCAAGATTAACGTGAGAACAGTTGAAAAAAAATTCGAAGAGGAAAAATATTTATAGTGTGAGTAAAGGAACTAGCCTGCCATCTCAATTGAAATGTTTTATGAAAACCACAGTTGTTAAAATAGTTAAGTACTGACGCTGAACTAGATCAGTGAAACTGAATGGAGATTCAGTGAAAAACTCAACTAATATATATAAGTAAGTGTACTTAGTATATGTTAAAGTTTGTTTTTCAAATTATTAAAAGAAAAGATGGATTATTCTACAGCATGTCAGGATAACTGTCTAGTAGTTTGATAAAGATAAAGTCAATCACTGCTTCACTTTTATACAAGAGTAAAATTGTGAATGGACCAAATACCCAAATATTTAAAAAATGAAACTAGAGGAAAACAATAGTGAATTTTAAGTGATTTTTGGATAAGGAGGACCTTTCTAAATGTGACACAAGTTTCAAAAGCCAAAAAAAAAAAAAAAAAATTACGTACTTGACTACATAAAAATTAAAATGCCAAAGGTTGACTAGACAACCAAAATTATTTAGTTTAAATCGTTTAGCTAAAAAACATTCTGGGGCATAAGAGAGTGGATATTTGCAACATATCTGATAAAAGACAAATGTTCTTAAAAATCCAATTTTTAAAAAATAAATTAATGAAAGATAAGCCCTCCAAAAACGTGTAACATACAAGAAACAATTCATAACACATATAAAAATGGCCAGGATACATTCAAGGATGTTCACTATGAATGAAGAAATTCCTGTCAAAGCAAGATACTATTTTATACTCATAAAACTGGCAAAGATTTAAAGTGTACTTACTAGTAATGGCAAGAGAATGGGGAAACCTCTGATACATTGTGGAAATGTGAATTGATGTGACATTTTTAAGAAGAAATTTAGCAGTATCTGTCAAAATTTTAAACATTCGTATGTTTTAATCTATCAGGACCACTTTTATTTATCACAGGAGTTACACAAAGATATATGTTAAAGAATGTTTGATGTATCATTGTGTGAAGTGGCAAAAATTTTAAAAGGGCAGATACATGTTGTGTCAGGTGGCTAGTGTAGTATAGTACCACCGATACGGTGGAATACATTCATAACTGTTAAGATTAGTTATATGTTTATGTTTCGGTATAGAAAGATGTGGCGGGTATGATAGGTAAAAAGGGTACCTTGTATTAAAATATGGATTTTTAAAAATTATTATATTTTAAGTCCTGAGATACATGTGCAGAATGTGCAGGTTTGTCACATAGGTATACACGTGCTATGGTGGTTTGCTGTACCCATCAACCCATCATTTACATTAGGTATTTATCTTAACAGTAACTCTACCCTAGTCCCCTACCCCTGACAGGCCTCAGTGTGTGATCTTTGCCTTTCTGTGTCCATGTGTTCTCATTGTTCAACTCCCATTTATGAGTGAGAAAATGCGGCGTTTGGTTTTATGTTCTTGTATTAGTTTGCTGAAAATGATGGCTTTCACCTTTGTGTCTCTGCAAAGGACATGAACTCATCCTTTTATATGGGTGCATAGTATTCCATGGTGCATATGTGCCAAATTTTCTTTATCCAGTCTCATTGATGGGCATTTGAGTTGGTGCCAAGTCTTTGCTATTTTGAACGGTGCCACAATAAACATGTGTGTACATGTGTCTTTATAATAGAATGACTTATAATCCTTTGGGTATGTATCCAGTAATCGGATTACTGGGTCAAATAGTATTTCTGGTTCTAGATCCTTGAGGAATTGCGACAATGTCTTCCACAATGGTTGAACTAATTACAATCCCCCCAACAGTGTAAAAGTATTCCTGTGTCTCCACATCCTCTTCAGCATCTGTTGTTTCCTGACTTTTGATTGCCATTCTAACTGGTATGAAATGTGATATGTCATTATGGGATTGATTAGCCTTTTTCTAATGACCAGTGATGGTTAGCTTTTTTTCATATGTTTGTTGGCTGTGTAATTGTCTTCTTTGCAGAAGTGTCAATTCATATCCGTTGCCCACTTTTTTTGTAAACTTATTTAAAGTTCTTTGTAGATTCTGGATATTAGCCCTTTGTCAGATGGATAGATAGCAAAAATTTTCTCCCATTCTGTATGTTGCCTGTTTACTCTGATGATAGTTTGTTTTGCTGTGCAGAAGCTCTTTAATTAGGTCTCATTTGTCAATTTTGGCTTTTGTTGCCATTGCTTTTGGTGTTTGAATCATGAAGTGTTTGCCCATGCCTGTGTTCTGAATGGTATTGCCTAGGTTTTCTTCTAGAGTTTTTATGGTTTTAGGTCTTACATTACATTTAAGTCTTTAATCCATCTTGAGTTAAGTTTTGTATAAGGTGTGGGAAAAGGGTCCAATTACAGTTTTCTGTATATGGCTAGCAGGTTTTTCCAGCACCACTTATTAGAGAATCCTTTCCCCATTGCTTGTTTTTGCTGTTTGTTAAAGATCAGATGGCTGTATCTGTGTGGTGTTATTTCTGAGAACTGTGTTCTGTTTCGTTGGTCTATATGTTTTGGTACCAGTACCATGCTGTTTTGGTTACTGTAACCTTGTAGTGTAGTTTGAAGTCAGGTAACGTGATGCCTCCAGCTTTGTTCTTTTTGCTTAGGATTGTCTTGGCTATATGAGTGTTTTGTTTTTTTTTTTTTTTGGTTCCATTAAAATATGGATATTTTATTTCAGTAAAAAATACTTTGAAGTTAGAATTAAAATTTGTATCTGCATAGTAAATATATTTGAAAGATAATGTTAGCTATCTATGTGGCTTGGAATTGGGTAGTTGAAAGGAATAGAGTAGAGGAATTTTTGCTTTTTACTTTGTATCCTTCCATACTGCTTGAGTTTTTCCCTTTTTCAAAATAGGAACATGTTTTACTTTTATACTTTAAACAAACCACAACAGAAGCAAAACAATATCAGTTTAGATTTATATGAAAACATAAATATTACATTATATGGGCTTTTATTCCTCATAATAGAAAATAACAAAACCAGGAGCCTTTCATGCGGGTTAAATAGTGCTTATTTGTTTGAGAATATTTAACCAGTAGGCTTCATCCCAATCCAAAAGTAATGACATTTTTGTTCTATATCTTATAATTTGGCTAGGCAATGGGACAGATTTTGTCACTGTACTTCTGGATTAGCCAGTGACATTTGCCACTTTACAAGAGGTACCACTCCCAGAACCAGAGTCTGTGTGAGACTCCTCTCACAGTTGCCCTCTAAAATATCATTAAAGCCCTCTACTCTGCAGTCCCCCAAAATTATAAGTATCTAGTCTTGTATTTAACAAGGTCTGAGATTTCTTTAGCTAAGGATTTCTGTGAAAAGGCTATTCAGTGCCTCATTTGTTCTAATAACTAAACTCCCTTCATTTTGATATACACATGAACCACTTTCAAACCATGCTCTTCCCAAGATTAGGCTTTCTACATTTAATATAATGAAAAGACAAGTGGTTGTTCTCTCCTTAAAAGTACTCAGAAAATTTCTGATGGATAAAACAAAATAATTTCCTCTAACACCAGGCAGACTAGCCATACAGAGGCATGTTTCTGACTTTCTTCTGCATCAGTTGGTTGAGACTCATAGTGTTGCTCTCCGTAAGTTACCCATTATCTGAAAATAGCATATTCCAGATGCAGTGTATTTTAGATGTCTGCTTATCAACTCTGGTAAGAACCTAGTTTAAGTTTCCATAGGGGTGATATGATTACTCAAGATTTCATCTGCAGTACACTTTGTATTATGTAGATTTTCCCATCTTTTCCGACATTTCTCCAAAAGTTACCCTTCTCTCAGTTTAACTCTTAAAATGCCATTGGTAGGGTCTTTGCACTTCAAGAATTCTTGAGGAAAAGCTTTCTTCTGAGAGTTAATATCATTTAGCAAGGGTCAAGAACAGAAAGCTTTGTTTTTAATCTAAAGGCTAAGGTAGATTTATTCTTAGACTTCTCTTCAACCTCATCTGTACTTCAATGTCTAGTTTCCATAGCAACTGAGATGCAGTTTGCAGCTGGATAAGAAAAGATAAATCTTTAGGTGTAAAGAAATTTATTTTTTAACCTAGAGAAAGAAGGTATCTAGCAATACCTTCACAGTTTTTATAGGCTAAAGCCTACATTCTTTAGTATTTCACTGATAGGTGTCCTTTTCTTTTTCCTGAAGAGGCCAGTCATTCAACTCTTCTCCACACAGTCCCAGCAAAGATTGCTGCTTCTTTGTTCTACTGTTTAATCACAGTCAAACTAATTAATTAACTGATTTAACAAGACCGTTAAAAGAACTTTTCTACGGAAATTGTAGTTACCAGTAGAATTACTTCTTTTCAAATGGAATGTCTCTGACTGATAATAGCCTTTTTTTACAGGAAGCAGGGAGTCTCTTGTTGAGGTGTGATTGAAAGAATCTAGAACAGTACTTATGTCTGTGTTCTTAGTGTAACTGAATTTGGGGTTTATACTTAAGACATGTGGAGTCACTTAGGTGGAGAAATGTTGGAGGGAGAGAAGTGCTGTCACAAGCCTTTGCAACCACTAGAAGGATAACATTAAAGAGATGCTCTAAGCACTTACTGTTACATCTTCCAATACGTGTAGCACTTTAAATGGAAAATTTATCTTATCTTTTTTAAGTTGTTGAAGCTGGAGGAAGATTAATGCTTTTTTTTTTTTTTTTTTTAAAATTGTAGGAACTGCCTTCTGTTGAAGAACTCACTATTATTCTGCCTGAAGATATTGAATTAAAGCCTCTTGGGATGGTTTCAAGTATTATTGAACAACTAGGTATGTAAAGAATTTTATTAATAAAAAGAATCATTAAAAAATTAATTATATCTGAACACACACTAATAATTGAATTAGTGGCTTTATGACTAGTAAATTGTTTTTTAAATATGTAAGTAACATGTCATAGTTTGAAGGGATAAAATTCAATTTTCATGTACTAAAATTATACATAGAGTTTCTTCATAGAAATTTAAATGTCTGGCTTTACTAACGTACTTCCTCCAGAAGTTTCTTTTAAGTCGATATGTTAGTTTTCTAATGTTTCTCTACCAAATTACTACAAACATAGTGTCTTAACAACAGCACAGATTGATCATACAGTTCTCATGTGGGTCTCAGTGGGCTAAAATCAAATATGTTAACTGGACTGAGTTGTTTTCTGTAGATACTAGGGGAGAATCTTATTTCCTTGCTCTGTTTGGCTTCTTGAGCCTGCCCACATTCCTCGGCTTTTGGTTCTCTTTCTTCGTCCTGAAAGCCAGTAATGGAGTATCTGTCTCTGAGCCTTCTTCCAGTGTCTCACCTCACTCTAACCACATCTGGAAAGGTTCTTTGCTTTCAAAGACTTTTTAGATTGAGTATCTGCATAATACAGGATAATCTCCTCTATCTCAAGTTCCTCAACTTTAGTCACATCTGCAAAGGCTCTTAAAAATGTATTTACAGATTCAGGTATTAGAGTGTGGATATCTCTGGGGGCGCCATTCTACTCGCCACCTTTGATTTTGTCTTAAAAACGTGTAAGTTAGAAAGTTTAGTGATTTAATACTGATGTATTAATGCACAAAATATGAAACTGCTATATAAGAGAACTTAATATTTTAGATTTCTTTAGCCCCAATATGTGAGGTTGGTATGTGAGATTTTGTTAATGTAGGTACTATTAACTCACAGTAGGGTACGCCTGAAAATAGAGCTTAGCACTGACCAAGTAATAGGATTTTGGAAATGTGAAGAGGGCCTAGATTGCTCACCAGCCTCCACAGGACATAAGGACATAGAAAAATTCAAGGTAGTCGCTCTTGGGACCAGTTGTATAATGAGTCAGTGGTTGAATTGGGAGTTTTTCTTTTGACTTTTTTCTAACAGTGTCTATATCAATATTTAAAAAAAAAACTTAATAATTTTATACTTTATCAGTTTATTAATAAAAATGTATATTAAAGTGAACCTTGTTTTCAAAAATAATTAAAACTCCATGATTCTGGAATCATTACATTTACTAGTTTTAGAGTTATCTTATGGTATTTAATAATATGTGAAGATAAATCAAACAGGCAACTAATTTCTTATATAGTATGATTTAAACATTTATTAGACTTGATGTATACAGAAATTTTTTTTTTTTTTTTTTTTTTTGAGATGGAGTTTTATTCTTGTTGCCCAGGCTGGAGTGCAGTGATGTGACCTCGGCTCACTGCAACCTCCGCCTCCTGGGTTCAAGTGATTCTCCTGCCTCAGCCTCCAGAGTAGCTGGGCTTACAAGTGCACACCACCATGCTTGGCTAATTTTGTATTTTTAGTAGAGATGGGTTTTCTCCATGTTGGTCAGGCTGGTCTCAAGCTCCTGACCTCATGATCTGCCTACCTCAGCCTCCCAAAGTGCTGGGATTACAGACGTGAGCCACTGTGCCTGGCCCATTTTTGCATTTTTAACAATTCTGTTTTAACTAACATAGACTAAAAAAATTCTCAACCTAATGGGAATAAAGAGCAAATGAGTCAAAATCAGCACATGCCACTGTTGCCTACTCTGTTTTGGAAGCCTAAAATATCTAATATTATTTGGAACAAATTACACAAAAAGAAAAATAAGTATTATTATATTAGGCAAAAATAATCTATGAATTTAAAGAAGCTAAAGATGAAAAGAGAGAGTTTGGGTTTGCATTTTGCAGCCCTACAAACTATGCCTTTTTTGTTTTGTTTTAATTTGGAAAAAACATGAGGCTAATTAGATATTATTCTTATAGGTAGAGGTGGAGAGATGTCATGAAGTTAGTGATCTTGTCCTAGTTCATTCTTTCAGAACGTTAGTTTTAAAATCTTTGAAAATGTTTATTAATACGGTACAAACCTGTAAGTTAATTTGTATCCATCTACCTGAAACTGCCTGCTGCTCAGAATCATTGTAATAAGAGAATGGGTCTGTGGAAACACAGTTGTGTTATAGAAAGAACACAGGAACTAGGTCTAGGTTCTGGTGATAATGGAATTGGCCTTGCCTTAATTGTTACAAGGGACTTTCTTAAATCTTTATTTTCTTATCTTTCTATAAGATGAGGGCATTGGATTAGGTGGTTTTTAGTTTTCCTGTAATTAATTTGACTCTTCTGCAACCCCTTGCAGAAGAAATGACGATTAGGAAGAAATGATGATTGAAAATGAATTCTGTTAGTGCTCCATGTAGTTATCAATCCATATTTCATCATCATTCCAGAAGCAGATTTAACTCAAAAAATGTTGCCCCATGATCTGTTGGTTATGTGTATATTTGGAATTCAGAAGTACTAACTTTTTTTTTTTTTTTTTTTTAATAAAAATGAAGTCTTGCTATATTGCCCAGGCTGGTCTCAAACTCCTGGGCTCCAGCCATTCTTCCTCGTCAGCCTCCCAAAGTGCTGCAGGCGTGAGCCACTGCATCTGGCCTGAAGTTAAAATTAGTTAGAATACAAAAGAAATTATTTGAATTAATTTTAATAATCTGAACTAATTAATATATTTTATTCCCTAAGTGGACGTGGCATTATCTATGTAATGTAACAGAATGTTCTTACTTGTGGCTCTGATTTTCTAAAAATTTATTGAGAGAGAGAGAAAGAGAGACAGACAAAGAGTGTGTGTGTGTGTGTGTGTGTGTGTGTCTGTGTGTGTATTTTCTCTCTGTTAATGGTAGATCAGTTCTTTAACATTTGTGTCATTTAAAAGAATTAAGAGATTTGGAAATTATGCTTCTGCTTTTTGAGGAGGGAATTTTCATGTAATGATAAAAATTACTGTGAGATGTAGCACTTTTACTTCTTCTGTTCTTAAGAAGATGCTTTTGTGAAGCTTTTATTTAACTTTTTCATATACCTGTAACTTAACAATGCTTTGTAGAAAAGAATTTAAGAGTGAGAAAGGAGACAAATTTCTTTTAAAACAGTAGTTTTAGGACTAAATATGATTACACTATTTTTGGTAAAATTCACTTGAGAATACATACATAGCTTGAATTTGTTGACTCTTTAATGGATGATTCAGATTTTCTGTGGGATTTATATTTTACTTTTTTTCTTAGAATTGTAGCTTTTTGTATTAAAAATAGTTATAAAACATTTCCCAGCACTGTTTGGTAATAAGATTTTGTTTACTGAAGAGAAATAGTTAATGAGGTAACTAATCCCACCTTCAATTTTATTTTAAATTATGTTGGAATTAAAGCTTAGATTTGTATTAAATTCTGCATTCTCTTGTAAGTAAATCTTAAAGTAATCTATTTTATTTTTCAGTAATAATTGAATCTATGACTAACCTACCTCCAGTTAATGAGGAGACTGTAATTTTTAAAAGTGATCGACAAGCAGCAGGAAAGGTTTGTAAAAAGTTTCAGTTCTTACAAATTATTCTATTTATTGGTTGGTTTTTCTGACTTTCTCCATCAGTTCTCAGAAAGTTTATTGATTTTAATTGATGGACAATCTAGAGCGCTCAAGTTTCAGTACGTTCTTGATTTTCTTCAATACTTTATGTCTGTCTGTAAATTGGTTAATACTGATTATTACCCTTCCGCTGCATGAGTTATTAAATGTACATGTATAGAATTCCTTCCTAGTGTTTGTCAGGTAATTTGCTAGACAGTGAGTCTACATAATGAATAACTCATCGTTTCCTACCCTCCAGATACTCAGCTGAGTGAAGATTTCCCATAGCATAGTAGCTCTTAACCATTTTTGGCTTTTGAGCCCCTTTGAAGATTGGCTTTCAGACTTTTCAGGCTTTGACTTCCTCAGGTGGAAGTTCACTGTGGAATCTTAGTTCTAAGTGGAGAAATATTTCACTGACAGCAGTGAATTGTCACTGTAAGCATATCCTGGGGAATTACAAATATGTGTACTCTAGTAATTACTATAAGATGTGGTCCCTTTTAACGTTTTTCTAATAGAACAACCCTGCATGTCCACCTTAATATAGAACACTGTGCACTTTACCCAGCAAGTAGGCAATTCTGACTGGGTGGCAGAAGACATAAAACCTTCTAAAATCAAGAACATAAATACCAAGTAAGTATGCATTTCCTGGCAATAGGGACAGTTTTATTCACCTTGATATTCCCCATTGTACCTAGTGCAGTTCTGTGTAAATTATTTGTGCTAAGTATATATTGAGTTGAATACAAACAAATAAGAATGAGCTATTTGTGATTTTCATGACAGTTGTCTTGTTTTCTTAGTACTTAGCTTAGAAATTTTCACCTGAAAATACTCAACACTTTGCTAAACTAAAACCTCTAAACAGATTTTTTTTTTTTTTATTTCCTACTACATTTGAATTTCTAGACCTGTAAATGTGGCTAATAATATTCATATTTAACGGTCATTTAGCTTTGAAAGAAGTCAGATAAAAATACAACATTTATAACTCTAACTTTAGTTATATGGCATAAGCCTGTTGGCAAAAAATCTATTTCTAAATTTTACATAGAATGCTTTATAAATGCTTTTGAAAGACTTTGCGACAAGTCTTTAAAAAATACTTGATTATAAATCTGAGTACCTTGAAATGATTCCCCAAAATAGTAGTGAGAGTAGAGAAGATTAGAAAGTATCTGTTAAACAAACCAATAACCAGACTATGAAACTGAATACCTTTTAGATTATTAGCATGTGTTATCTAAATACTAAGTTTTACCTTCAAGTAGCAAGCCATTGAACATCTTTTCCCTGTATTCTTTAGTAACACAATAATAATCAGCTACAGTGGTATTTATGTTGTTTAACTTTTTAAGTTCACTGAAACCCTGAAAGGAAGTAGAATTACCTTTATTTTAAAACTTGGGGAACCTTGCTGAAAAGTCACAAATCTGAAATGGATGAGATTGCCAAGCCAGGTTGATTTCCCTGCCGCCTCCCTTTGCTTTCCCCACTGATTGAGGGAGGACGGTCTCAGATACTTACTCCTACCTTTGCCCTTTAATCCTAAGAATTGCTAGTTTTTCTTGATAGCTAGTGAAATCTGTTTCCTTCTCATATATCACTGAGTAGGGAATTTTAACTGATTTCTTTTTAAAAGATTGTCTTGTTTGGTACGACATGATGATTTTTCTAGAGGACTCTATATATTGATGCAGTGTTCCCCACTGCCTTAGTTCTCATGACATATTTCAAGGTAACTTGGGATACAGTAATATACACAGTGATTGAAATAATCAGTTTACCTAACTAATGGATTAGAATGCCTATTCGTCTGTATTTTCTTCATTTTTGTTAATGGAAAGGGAAAAAGTACAAAGTGATTGATAAAAGACCATGTTGGATAGTTGTAAAGGTTCGTTTCCTCATTTCCTTTCCCCTTTGGCAGTTTAGCCCAAAGCTGGCTCACCTGGACAGACAGTCTTTGAGGGCTCTTTCCAGGTGGTAGCATGCAGATCTTGGCCCTTCACAGGCACAGCCTGCCAGCATTGTTCATGGGCCTGGAGATTCCTTAATGTATTTCTTCTTACTTAGAGAAACTGGGAATTACCTAGTCCCCCCTTAGATAATAGAGAAATTGGAAGTTACCTAGTCCCCTCCAGATAACTCATAAGTTTGTGACGTGGTGTGTGTGTGGAGAGGGGGTGGAGAATACAGCTCGTTCTCCATTTTGGAATATTGTCTGTGCACGTCCAGCCTGCTGGCTCAAATAGGTCTTCCACGCTGCTGAAACTTTTGCCATGGTGCGCACAGAACATTTAAGCCCAGCCTGTGCTGGGATGGAATTTGGGGAACTGCATGCACTCTGTATCTTCTTTGCTTGTCAGTTATTTTTCCCAACAGACCCTGCATTATATCTGTACCATGTTGTTGTCATGGTGTTTGTTAACCTCTGTGTGTGATAGGAATCCTTGAAGATCTTGTAGCAAAAATATAATGACTTTGAGTGAAAAAATGGTGAGTATTATCTGCTAGAACCAAGTGAAAGGATACTTAGAAAACCTCTTCTCAGTGACAGGGCAAGTATAAAGCATCAGTTGGATTACATTTTTATATGAACATTTCTATAGAATAATTCCATTTTTAAAGATAAAAAGAAAGCTGCTTGCCCACCTCATAGTATAGGTCTCAGCTGCTACTTTTCCAAATTCAGTTTCTTAAACACTCCTTAAAGTCTATTACTTCTTTTGCTTTTATCTTGAATCAGGTAGTATGGATGTCACAAAATCCCCTAAGTTGGGTAGACTGACTGAGCGGGGATACAGGTGCCTCATATGGAGCTGTGTGAGAAGTGGGCTGGCCTGATCTTTGCTGTGTCTTAAGTTGCTCTTTACAGTTTAGCTCTCAGGTATTAGTCAATCTAAACTCTACACTCGGAGGCTAATAGTCATTTAAAATATTGCTAAATTCTTCTTTTCTTCTCTGAATTAGCTAAATTGCTTATGTGAACTCGGTCAAGTTTCCCTGTAACATACCTATTGTTAGTGGCTCATGCCACATACTATTTTATGGCTTCCTGTTACCTAATGTCTGTGGTGTTATTTTACTTAAAACTTTATAATGATTTCATCATAGTTATAGCTCATAAACACTTCAGGTCTTAGTAGCGAGCAACTAAAAAGCTATGCTTTTCTTTTGTCCAGGAATTTTGAATGTCACATATATTTTAGTTTAAACCATACTGCATAGACCTGAAGTTTGCAAGGAATTTTTCCATTGACATCATTTTTCACACTTAGGAAATGGATTCATGCTATCTAGGAAACAAATCCCTGGGAAACAGTCAGTGTACCAGGCTGCAAACAATGATTATTTTACCTTGTATTAATGGATACATAGGAAACTTTTTAGTTATTATTAAGGTATTATTTAAGTTATTATTAAGGTATTAAGTCTCTGTGCAAACAAAGAATTGGGTTTGTCTATATTCGAGGGAGTTAAATTTGTGAATTATTTTGAAGACAATTTTAAGTGAAAGTAAGATTACTTTCATGTCATGTAGGCTGATTACAGTGGTGCTGCGGTCCAGCTCTTCTGTCCTTCACAGCTTTCACTGGACGAGGTCTACTGGATTTATCTAAACCTCTCAAAGCAAATGTCCTGCTATTTTCTTAAATTTTTTTTGCTTTTAAATTTATTTAATGTCTGAAATTTGTGATGCTATTAGTGTTATTTCATAATACATTTTAATGTCACTACTTGTTTTTAGAGTATACATACCTTCAGAATGGTGGTGCCCTGCTTTGTGAGCTGTTTTATGCCTTAGTGAAAACTAATAAAGGCTTTGGTGCTCTACTAAAGATCATAAAATGTAAAGAATATTTATTATCAAAAATCAAGAACTGAGGATGTAATAAAACAGCCACTTTTAATGCAGTTGGTATAAATTGGTCTAAGCTATTTAGAAAGCTATTTAGTATTTCCATTAAAACTTTTATACCTTAGTGTTAATTATCATACTTTCAGCTTCAATACTTCTACTCCTTAAAAATCAATTTTTAGGAAATCTGAAGTATAGACATTGATATATAAGATATTTATTATGGCATCATATATTGTGTTGAATAAATTGGAAACTGCTTAAATATCCTACAAAAAAAGTTAAATAAGTTGTGCTGGATCTGTAAAGGGGTATTTTATAATTGGTAAAATTTTACTTAGAAAAAATGTAACATGGAACAACTTTAGGTTTTAAAAGGGAGTAGTATATAAAAGTACAATATAGTCTTAAAGAAAAAAATATGTATTACAGAAAAAAGACTGGAAAAGTCTATACGGGCCGTGTTCTCATCTCTATAGTGTACATATGTTATAAGAAAATATATTTTTTAATTCAGGTAATTTTGAGAAGAAAATAAAGTTTGAAACCAAGAGGCTTCCTTTCATCATTGATAAAATGTTTTCAGAAATAACATACGTAGTTCTGCTGAAAACAGTTCTCTTAGTTAAATGTTAAAGGCCACACCATCTTTTGTTTTGTGGAAATAAGTAACTTCTCTATTATTTGTTAAATTAGAAAAAGTCATTAATTTTACAAAATTTCTAACACTATGTAAACAGCAAAAGTGATTTAACACCTATTGAAGTCAGAAACTTGCTTTTATATTTCCCATCTCATGATTCCAAATGCATACAATGTGTTATTTCTCAAAAGTTACCAATTATAATCCTTTACTTTGTACCTTACAACTTAAATGAGCAATAATTTTAAAAAACCAAAATTATAATTTGCATCTAGTTGGTACCACCAAATGATTTGAATTTGTGAGGAACAAACTTGTTACAGTTGTTTTAAATTAATAGATTGGAAATCTGGAATGAGCTAATACATTTTAATTAGTATATGAAGACTGAATATGTAAAAATGACAAATATAAATTATTTTATTGCCCTATCACTGACAAAATTACGTTGTTCTAGCAATTATCAGTGGCATTTTTAAAAGAAAACATTGCTACCTTTTCAATACATGTTAAAAGAGGCCTTTATGTTTCTATTATAGATATTTGAGATATTTGGACCTGTTGCACATCCATTTTATGTGTTACGGTTTAATTCTTCAGATCACATTGAAAGTAAAGGTATTAAAATAAAGGAGACTATGTATTTTGCTCCATCAATGAAAGATTTCACCCAGTATATATTCACAGAAAAACTTAAACAGTAAGTACTTTACTGGCATGTTGTCCTTCACTCACCTAATACTTATATTTTAAGAATAATGCTCAGTGGTGATAATTCCTTATAGCTATATTGTTGTCTGCCTTCCAGAGAGTTCCTTTATCTGCCTAATAACATCTCTGAAGCCTACAATGTATTATCACTTTTGTAGGTAGAACTCATACCTTTTGCAGAAAATGAAATGATCAGCAGTTAAAAGAACATTTGAGCCATGTACATTTTCTGATTTTACTTCAATTTTTTAATTATATACTTTAATATACTTACTATTTTAGTATTTTAGTATTAGTATTTAATATTATTACCATTTCTTAACAATTGTTTTCAGTTGAGTAAAATTCTCTTTGGATGTAAAGTGTAAAATTCTTTTTGGTTGTAAAGTGTAAAACTCTTCACCAAAAATTGTTGATTTTTCAGCTTCTATTACACATTTCACATATGCCGAGCATTACATTGTCCTTTAGAATCTTTAAAGCAGCTCCTCTTCCTCTTCCTCAGATTATTCATAGTTAGCCTTTATTTGACCCTCTCTGCTTTGAGAATCAGTGTTGGAATAAACCTTGGTTTCTTATGGAGGATTGTTGATATTCTTCAAGTAAACTGAGGAGAAAAGAATTCATTTTAATATCTCTACCATTAAACCTGTAAAATATTTGAAAAGGGAATGCCCCATAGTCATTTTTGTGTCCTTCATACCTGAGACAGTTTCCAATTATAGTTGGTGTGAAATAAGCATTTTTTTAAACTGAGTTTTATGAAAACTGCAAATATCATGAAAATCAAAACTGCCCATCTCCTTTCCTCTGGGCACCATAGGCTTGGCTTTTCATTCCAGTTCCCTAATCCTAATATTTATATTTGCCCAACTTTTGTTTTTCTTATGAGCTTCCCATATCTTTTGAAAAGACAACCCAAGTGTATTGCAAAATTAAAGGTTGAATTTGTGTCCTTTACTTTTTACTTTCTGTACTTTTAAGTTATAAGCAGAATTGTGATAAATACTTTTTTGATTCCCTACCCCACCCCACCCAGGGATAAGGGATCAGATGCATCATGGAAGAATGATCAGGAACCACCACCAGAGGTAAGTATAAGTCTTTCTAATGAATATTTTAGAAAATAGGGCAGGACTTAATCTTATAAATATGTTAGGGAGGTCATGAATACTGGTCAGCAGCCATACTGCCTTATTCTGTCCTAGCCTTTTGTATTCTCTCATCCTCCTAGGTGGACTGTTGTGTACCTTTCAATGAAAGGTTTTTTCATTTTGGAAAAAAACTTTTTTTCAGTTACATTTAGCTGTATTTTAATAATTATCTTCTAATTTACATAATATTTTCCTATTTTTGTTAACTTTGTCTGATAAAGGCAGGATGTCATTATTTTAAAAAATTTTAATTCAGTTTATTAAATACACCATATGGGACATAAAGACATGGTGCTTTTAATAGTAAGCTGCTCTTCTTTTGGAAGTACAGAATTATTGGAGGCTACCTACCTCTTTGATTTTTTACAATATAATTACCTTTCTAAAAAGAGACCTTGATTTTCTTTGTGCATCTATGTCAGCAGAACAGTAGTTTTATGATCCAAGATGACTTGATAATCTAGTCTTCCTAGGGATGTGAGGTAAATTTAAGAATAACATGTAAACGAGTTAATGATTTAATAGAATTACTTGGTTAACATTCCATGAAAGTATTTAAGCAGATTATCTTGAGGTTTTTTTTGAAGTTATCAAAATACAAATATTACAACAATGAATATATTCATTTCTTAAAAATAGCATGTATTTATACAATATAAAAAAAGTATTTAAACATTTTTGTCAGTAAAAATTATACATGAGACTTTTTAAAACTTGCTCAGCAGTTCTGATGAAGTTTTCTCAATATTATAGTTGTTTTTTTTTTTTTTTTTAAACAAATATACACATGGAAGACTATGTTGCCCAGTCTGGTCTTAAACTCTTGGCCTAGTGATCCTCCTGCCCTCAAGCAGTCTTTTTGCCTCAGCTTCCCAAAGTGCTGGGATTACAGTCATGAGCCACCTTGCCCAGCTAGTATTACAGATTTTTGATATATATATTTTTTCTCATCTGGTAGACAAAGGTAGGATTTTGATATTTACAGATTTACCCTTGGTCATTTTAGATGCTTAAAGCAATGCTAAATCATGATCTGTGTTAGTTTCTAATTATACTGAGGTATGAATCAGGTTTATGCCGACTTAAAGGGTTTTATACAGGTATGAATCACTTAACCAGAGAATGATCCTTGCTTAGTATCTGAATTGAAATAGAATTATGTAAATTAAAGTTATGTATTTATTCCAGTTAAGGCTCTGAATATTCACTTAATATTCTGAATTAGTTTATGGCATCTAGAGCATATTATTACTGAAATTAAATGTTTTAGAAGTGTATATAAAGATTTATAAAGATCTCAAAACATGTTTCTTGTAAAATCTTGATAATCTTTTATTTTTTTGAGATGGAGTTTCACTCTTTTTGCCCAGGCTGGAGTGCCAATCTCGGCTCACTGCAACCTCCGCCTCCTGGATTCAAGTGATTTTCCTGCCTCAGCCACCTGAGTAGCTGGGATTACAGGTGCGTGCCACCATGCCTGGCTAATTTTGTATTTTTAGCAGAGATGGGGTTTCACGATGTTGGCCAGGCTCGTCTTAAACTCCTGACCTCCAGTAATTCACCTGTCTCTGCCTCCCAAAGTGCTGTGATTACAGGTGTGAGCCACCGTGCCCAGCCAATATCCAGATATTCTAATGAATCCCTGTTGTTTCTGACCTAAGCATTGAATTTACCAATTACGGCAATGTGAGTTATTTGTAAAATTGGTTTGACTAGGTTAATTGTAAAATTACATCTCACGTAGTTCATGGTGTTTGTTTTTTCCAGGTAGCTTGACTGGAGTGTTAAGTATGTTGGGAATTTATTTTGTAATATTTCTTGATGAAACTTGTAGTCTAGAATTATTGCCTAATTGATCATAGATTAAAATTAGAAGTTTGTTTGGTTTAAACTTGAAAAAAGAGAAACATCATGTGCTGTGAAAATAGAAAGCTCACATAAAGAAAATAAGAGAAAGTATGTGCTGTGAAATGTTAGGCTGTGCAAAGGACCTAAAAATGACCTTGGGTTGTATCATATTTATCTTCATAGCCATTTTTAATACACCAACATGTACATGACGGTACAATAAGTGTATTTAATGAATGGAGATACGAATTAATTTGCATACAAGAAACATAAATTTTTCTCTGATTTTAGGAGGTGATAGCAAACTACTACCAGAGTAATCTCTCTGAAATAAATGATTCCCAATTAAAATTCTTAGTCCTCCCTCCTGCTCTTAAGATGATTATTTCAGTTATTTCAAATGGCACTGTAAGGTTTCTTATTAGCTTCTCCAATTTTGTCTTTTCTGTTTTTGCTGTGTAAGAAGCAGCTTTCACTTTGCCTTTCAGCACTATTTTTCTTTTCCGTATATACCATGTTCTACCATGCCTCTGTTTTGCTGTGTATGAAGCTTTCACTTTGCCTTTCATTACCATTTTTCTTTTCCGTGTATACCATGTTCTGTTATACCTCTGTGTGTATCGTTCCCATGCCCTGAAAATTTTCTTTATTTTCATAGCTAACTCAGTCAGGTATTTATATTGGGTTATCCATACCAAGAAGTCTTCCTTTTCCTTTTTTCTCTTTATCCAGCACTGTAATCGTGCATTGAGTTGTGGCACTCATTCATTGTACATTTAATCTTTTTTCTCAGAAGGAGTCTTCCCTCTGATCTCCATACTTCCTAGTGTGTCAGATACCAGATTTAATCTGAATTTAAAAGTCTTATCACATTAAGATCAGTAATAAGAACTTGTGCATTTTGAAAGCATACAATTAGTTGATGTTTTCGAATTAGATTTTAGACTCTGAAGTGTATGAATTTCTGGTTCATGGAGGATTTGATCTAGAATGTATTCCAGCAAAGCCATACTGAAAATTACATACAAAGATGTTCATATACATTTTCTTTCTTCTTCTTAAATGTTTATCCCTACATACATAATAGGCCAGCTTTAGTGTATTTTTATATGAAACATAATAATAAAAGAAGTTTTTGGTGTTAATAGAATAATAAAATGCCTGACTATTGCAGCCATAGCAGTCATAATATATACAGCTCATAAATCTTGGTTTTCTTGGTGGACTATAACAATGAATCCTAATTCTTAGTTACATGTGAATTGTACCACATTTAATTTTTAAATAATTTCCTTTTAGGAGTTGGGTCATTTATGTATCTGCTTATAAAAGCCTTTGCCTGTGGTCTTACCTTAAGTAGCATCTCCATGATTTGTATACCCTTATTTTGCCTTAATATTTATTTATAACCCTTGATATATACCTAAAATTATATTTAAAAATACAGTAAACCTGTAAAGAATGAACCTGTGAAGGTTTAGAACAGTGCTTGGGTGTATATTTTGAATGAGTGAATTGTGGAACATTGTCTTCTATTGTTGTTGGCTGTTACAAAGTGTATAATTTGCTTAGTCCTTGATCTTTTGCATCTGACACTATGATGAATCTTAAGTCTAAACTGGAAGTCAGACTCATATCTCAGGACCGATTACTGGCCTGTGTTAATTAAGAGTCATTAAGCATTTATCAAAAAATACTTTATTTTTCTACCATGTCTAATTCAGATATAGAAAATATTAAGTATCAAAAAAGCAACTTTTTTTTAAGAGTCAGTGGTTAATAATAGGCTTATTTTCTTCACCTTCAAGTGTATACTGTTGAATAGGCAAATCCATGTAATATAAACCTATTACATACCTTTCTCTGCAAGGCCTTAGATTTCAGTGATGATGAAAAAGAAAAAGAAGCCAAACAGAGGAAAAAATCTCAGATTCAAGGCCGGAAAAAACTCAAATCTGAATTTAATGAACCAGGTGAGTGAATATAATATGTATAGTCATTCTTTATCTTAATTTACATCTATATAAGTTTATCAGTAATAAAGCTGAAGGAAACATATGGGTTCTCTCTGTTTACCTCCTAGCATTCTACTAACATTCAGAGTGGTTACATAGCAGGAGGTATGGTAGTTTTATGAGCTTAAGCATATAAAAATGGCTTCCTGGGGCAACAGACAGACTAAATATTGTTACTTGTGCTTCTCAGCACTTTTTTCTTAAGATACTCATTTGCTTCCATTTTTAGAAATTTTATGATCTAGTACTTGATGAACCTATTAATAATAATTTGAAACTATCAATAATAGTTTGTTCTTCTTCAGTACAGTGTAACATTTCAGGTATGAATTTACCAGATTACCTGACCATTCATTCACCGAAACACATCTAGGTTGTTTCCATTTTGGGGTGATTCAGAAAAAAGCAGTTATAAATATTTGTTACCAAGTTTTTTGTGAAAACAGATTTTTATTTCCCTGGAATAAATGCCCAAGAGTGCATTTGCTTGGTTGTATAATAATTGCATTACATGTTTAGTTTCCTAAGAAATTGCCATGCTGTTTTTCAATGTGGCTGTAACATTTTACGTTTCCATCAGCAGTATACGAGTGACAATTTCTTTGCATTTTTCTCTAGCATTTGGTGTTATCACTATTTTTAATTTTAGCCATTCTGCTAGGTATGTAGTACTAATATAATTGTGGTTTCAATTTGCATTTTCCTAATGGCTAATGACGTTGAACATCTTTTTTTGTTTTTTTGTTTGAGATGGAGTTTCGCTCTCGTTACCCAGGCTGGAGCGCAATGGTGCGATCTCGGCTCACCGCAACCTCTGCCTCCTGGGTTCAGGCAATTCTCCTGCCTCAGCCTCCTGAGTAGCTGGGATTACAGGCACGCGCCACCGCGCCCAGCTAATTTTTTGTATTTTTGGTAGAGACGGGGTTTCACCATGTTGACCAGGATGGTCTTGATCTCTTGACCTCGTGAGCCACCCGCCTCAGCCTCCCAAAATACTGGGATTTCAGGTGTGAGCCACTGCGCCTGGCCCAACATTGAACATCTTTACATGTGCTCATTTACTATCTGTATGTTCAGTGATGTGTCAATCCATATCTTTTGCCCATTTTAAAATAGTATTTCTGTATTTTTACTGTCAAGTTTTGAGAATTTAAAAACGTATATTTTAGATATACTAGGTTTCTGTCAGATATGTGGTTTGTTCATAATTCGTTCTAGTCTATAATCTTTTAACCCTTTTAAGAGGTCCTCTTGCAAGATTAAAGGTTTTAGTTTGGAGGAAAATTAATTTATCAGTTTTGTTTATGGAATCTGGTAACTTCCTGCTTAGCTTTAGAGCCTGATGATTTTCTTCTATTTTTTTCCCTAAAAGTTTTGTATTCTTCTGTTTTACGTTTTACACTTGCAGTTCATTTTGAGGTAAATTTTGTGTAGAAAGTGAAGTTAGTCTTGAAATTGCTTAGAGTGATAACTCCTACTTTATTTCTGTTTTTAAAAATTATTAGCGATATTCTGGGTCTTTTACCTTTCAGTATAAATTTTAGAATTTTTTGTACATCAACAAATGTCTTGCTGAGGTTTTTTGTTTTCGTTTGCCTGTTTTTTGAGGTTCATGCTCTGTTGCCCAGGCTAGAATGCAGTGGTACAATCATAGCTCACTCACTGTAACCTTGAACTCTTGAGCTTTTTTCTTTCGTTTTCCTGACTGACAGTATTTTTCGTGTAGCAAAACTTTTAAGTTTAATGCAATTCAGCGAATCGATTCTTTCTTTCAAGGATCGTGCCTTTGGTGTCCTGTCTAGAAAGTCAGTATCAACTCAAGGTCATCTATATTTTCTTCTCTGTTATCTTTTAGGAATTTTGTAATTCTGCACTTTACATTGAGGTCTGTGATTCATTTTGAATTAATTCTTATGAATGATGTAAGCCTATTGTCTAGATTTATTTTTTGCATATGGATGTCCTGGTGTTCCAGCCCCATTTGTTGAAAAGACTACTTTTGCTCTGTTGTATTGCTTTTGCTCTTTTGTTAAATCAGTTGATTATGTTTTATGAGTTTGTTTTTGTACTTTCTGTTTTGTCCTATTGATTTATTTGTCTCTTCTTTCACCAGTACCTCACGCTGTGATACCTGAAGCTTTGTAATAAGTCTTGAAGTTGGATAGTTTCAGTCCTCCAGCTTTATTCTTCTCCTTCAATATCGTTCCCTTGTTTTTTTTTTTATTTTGATTATTGTAATGCTCATTTCTAAAATTTCAATTTGTTTTTTTGTATCTTCTTTTTTTTGCTAAAACTTTATAATTTTAATTTTTTAGAATGTTCATAATATCTTGCTGAAACAATTTTATGACTGCTTTACTATCTTTCATAATTCTAACATCTTTGTGATGCCCTTGGTTGATTTTTTTTTTTTTTTTAATTGAAAGAAATCTTCCGGCCTCTTTTTGTAATGAGCACTTTTTTTTTTTTAATTGAAACTTGGATATATTGAGTAATATATTACAAGACCATGGATCTTATGTAAATCTTCTGTTTTAGCTGGGTTTGTTGTTACATTTTCTTTGTTTTGTTTTTTAAAAGACTACTCTGGCAGTGAAAGAAGAGGGTAGATTGAAGTCTAGGTATTCCTCTTAGCCTCAGTTGACACCTTTGGCCAAGGAGTGCTTTGTTACTGCTGGATGAGGGTAGAAGTTCTGACATCCCATAGGGCAGGCGTCCCCAAACTATGGCCTGCGGGCCGCATGCGGCCCCCTGAGGCCATTTATCCGGCTCCCTGCTGCACTTCAGGAAGGGGCACCTCTTTCATTGGTGGTCAGTGAGAGGAGCACAGTATGTGGCGGCCCTCCAATGGTCTGAGGGACAGTGAACTGGCCCTCTGTGTAAAAAGTTTGGGGACGCCTGCCTTAGGGTCTTTTCTTATTCCTAGAGGGACAGGAGTACTTTGTCACTACTCCCCATATGGCATGCAGTGACACCAGTGGAGGATGGCCTTGTTATCACTAAAATCCTAACTCTACTCAGTCTTCTTTGACATTACCCCAGAGTAAAAGATGGAAGAACACTGTGTTGCTGCCAGTAGAGGTGGTAGTTGAGGTTCCCCTTGTGATGCTTACTGTCATTGCGGGGAGGCCTTACTACCCACTGTCATTGCGGGAAGGCCTTACTACCCACACCGTGTTCAGCTTGTTCCTGATGCTACTGTGGTGGAAGGGTTGGAGTAGCTCATTACTGCCTGTCAAGGATAGAAGTCTAAGATCTGTACTCAGCCTTTGTGAGTGTGTAGAGACGGTGCCACATTTTCTTCTGTGGTGTTTGGCTGGAGTAGAATAGTTATTGTCTAAGTGTTTTCTGTCTTGCTAGTTCTCTTTCTTTGGCATTAAGTTTTGTCTTTTCAGTTCCTTTAAAATTGATTATTTTAAGACATACTCTTTTAACTGCCATAAGATATACTAGATAATAAAGAAAAAACATAATTGAAATTTCAAACAGTTTGATATATTAAACTTATTTTCATTTTTATGTTTTCCCTCCCCTCACTCAAAGGTGAAGATTTTGCTGAAGTACATCAGAATTGGAATGCTCATAGCTCTGCTTCAGAACATTCAAAAGGATATCGCAACAGAGAATTCACACGAGGATTTTCCCGGAGCAGATATCCTAGATCTTGCCATGGCAGGCCTCCACCTCAGCAGTTCTATAATTCAGAACATATGGTATCTCAGGAGACTTCAGGATTTCCTTCCCAGAGACAAGATAATCCCATTATGCCACAATACCCCTTTCCCCCTCCAATGTTTGATATGCATAATTTTTCACTCTGCCCACCACCTCCACCCCCACCCCCACCTGTAAACATGCGTTGGGCTACACCAAACATGGCAGCTCATCCATTACTTAACTTACCGTACTCCCTGCCCCCGCCTCCTCCCCCTCCACCGCTGCCTCCTCCACCCTCTTCTGGAGATAGTAATTCTCATTTTGGACCTTACTATTAGGTGACTATGCATTTCCAGAGAAATGTGGACTTGTCATATTATGCAGTAAGGATTTTTTTTTTTTTTAAAGAAAAAGTGATTATGGAGCTAGATTTTTAAAAACCCTGTAAAATACTAAATGATTCCTTCTGTTGTAAGTTGATATATATTTGTAGCCTTTGTGAAATTGTATTCATATGAAAATGTCAGCTCAGATTCTTTGGGAGAACATTAAATTATGTAATATTTAATTAAAATTTTGAATTCATGCCTTCTCCCACCCAAACCTACCCAGTTAAACTATATATATATATATATTATATTATATATATATTATATATATTATATATATTATATATATATATAAAAAATAATGGGTATGGAATAAGTTTCATCATGGGTAAAATATATGGAGCACATTGATTTTCTTACTGTAATCTGAAAATAAGATGAAGTCCTTTTGAGAGTCTTTATTTTTATAAATGTATACCCTAGAAATCAAATTTAATTATAAATGTAATTTGCAAATACATTTAAATGACCATAGTTTTTGTTTTTAACGCAGTTGAAGGGTGTAGAGGAGGAAATTCTTAGATATTGGTAGAAGCTCTGATTATAGCTAAAGTAAATATTTATTATGCATAGGCAAGCTTATGTTATCTGTGCCATTTCCTTTATTTAGGCACATATTCAGAAGGCTTTACTATTTAACCTCCTAAAAGGGATACAAAGATTATTCACAATAAGATCTATTTAGGGATTTCATCTTCCATATTTGTTTCCCAGATACTCACATGCAGACTAGGTTCAATAAATAACAAGTGTTTATTGAGTATCACAATTTAGAGTTTTTAATTAAATGAGTAATGACTACTGCTTTTATATTATGAAATGTCAATGTAAGGGAAATTATGGGTTTTAGAACTAGAAGAGGCCATTGAAATACTCTAGTTTTCATTTAATAAATGAGGAGGCCAAGTGTCCCAAAGAGGTTAATTTAACTAAGATCACTCAGTTAGTGAGTTGTCGAAGAGTTGAACCTCTCTCTCCTGGTTTTCTGTTTAGCATTTTCCACTAATTAGATGTTTCCCAGTCTTTCATTCCTTAACACACTTTTGTATGGCACATTGGAATAAACTAGATACCACTTAGCAGAAACCCATGTACTCTGGTTGCACTGAGGCCCCACTTTTTTTCCCCATTAGCTGAGAGGACTCTGCGGCATTCCTAGTACACAAGTTGAGAGGCTCTGCCTTGGTATATATTAACTTTATCATGCAAGTGCTTTCTTCATTATCTTTTGAAATGTTTTTGGAACTTTTAAGTTACCTTCACAGGTTAGCACAACCTTTTAATGATTTGGTAGAATACTGTTAAGAGTTTATGAGATTGTATCTAAAAGCACTCAAAGAAAAACGCAAAACCCTTTTCCACAAGAATGGGAACAATGACATGTTATTATTAGACATCAAGCTGTTCTCATCATCATGGCATTTAAAAAGCTGCCCATTTCTGTACCTCAGATACAGGTTTACCTCATAGATACTGTGGCTTCAGATCCAAATCACTACAGTCAGGTCAGTCACACAAAGTTTTGGTTTCCAAATGCATATAAAAGTTAACGTTTGTGCTCTACTGTATTTTAAGTGTGCAATAGTATTGTGCCTACAAAAACCAAATGTGTTTATCTCAATTGAAGAATATTTTACTGTTAAAAAGTAAGAATGACCTTCAGAGCCTGCAGTGAGTTGTAATCTTTTAACTGGTGGAGGATCTGGCCTCAGTGGTGTTGGTTGCTGACTGATCAGGGTGGTGGTTGCTGAAGGTGGCAGTTTCTCCTAATAGACAGCAGTGAAGTTTGATGCATTAATTGGCTCTTCGTTTCACTGAAGATTTCTGTGTAGCATGTGATGCCACTTGCTAGCATTTTACTCTCTGTAAAACTTTGAAATTTGGGATTGGTTCTTAAACCCTGCCACTGCTTTATCAACTAAGAAGTTTATGTAACGTTGCAAGTCCTTTGTTACCATTTCAATAATGTACTTGGCATCTTCACCATGAGTAGCCTTTACTTGAGAAACCTCATTTTTTCTCATCCATAAGAAGTAACTCCTCATCTATTCAAGTTTTTTCATGAGATTGCAGCAATTCAGTCACATCTTTAGGTTCCACTTCTAATTCTAGTTTTCTTCCTATTTCTACCACTTCTGCAGTTAACTTCCTCCACTGAAGCTTTAAACACCTCAAAATTATTCATGAGGGTTGGAATCAACTACTCCCAAACTCCTGTTAATATTAGTATTTTGACTTTATCTCATAAATCATGAATGTTCTTGACATCTTAAATGGTAAATCTTTTCCAGAAGGTTTCCAATTTACTTTGCCCAAATCCATCAGAGGAATCGCGGTCTATGACAGCTATAACCTTACAGAAAGTATTCTTACATAATAAGACTTGAAAATCAGAACTATTCCTTGATCCTTGGGCTATGGAATGTATGTGTTAGTAGTCATTTAAAAAATGCCTCCTTGTAATATCTCCATCGGAGTCCGTGGGTATGACCAGGTGCATTGTTAATAATTAGTCACATTTCAAAAGAAGTCTTTTTCTGAATGGTGGACTTAAAATCTTTAGTAAAGCATGGTATAAAAAGATGTGCTGTTATCCAAGCATTGTTTTTTATTTATAAAGCACAAAATTCCTAAGGACCCTAGGATTTTTGGAATCGTAAATGGCATTGGCTTCAACTTATTCACCAGCTACAGTATCTCTAACAATATAGCCCGTCCTTTGAAGTTTGGAAACTAGGCATTGAATCCCGCTCTGTAGCTATGAAAGTGCTAGATGGCTGCTTTTTTCAATAGAAGACTATTTTGTATGCATTGAAAATCTGTTGTTTAGTGTTTAGTGTATCCATCTTAGCTAGACCTGGATAACTTGTAGCTTCACCTTGCCACTTGTATGTTATGGAGATGGCTTCTTTCCTTAAGCCTCATGAGCCAACCTTTGCTAGCTTCCCACTTGTATTCTACAGTTTCTCTCAGCCTTCATAGAATGGAAGGAGAGTTAGGGCCCTGCTCTGGATTAGGCTTTGGCTTTAAGGGAGTGTTGTAACTGGTTAGATCTTACATCCAGACCACTTAAACCTATTCCATATCTGCTATGAAGCTGTTTTGCTTTCTTATTCCTGTGTTCACTGGAGTAGTATTTTTAATTTCCTTTAAGAAGTTTTTCTTTGCATTCACAACTTGGCTGTTTGGCACAAAAGGCCTAGCTTTTTAGCTTGTCTCAAAGCCTCAGCTTCTATCTTCACTAAGCTTATCTTCACTAAGCTTAATCATTTCTAACTTTTGATGTACAATGAAAGATGTACAACTCTTTCGTTCACTTGAACACTTAGGGTCATTGTAGGGCTAGTAATTGGTTTAATTTCAGTATTGTTTCATGAAATAGGAAGGCCTGAGGAGAGAGAAAAAGAGAAACAGCACATCTGTGAAGCAGTCGGGACACACACATGTATCCATTAAGGTCACTATATTATATGGGCATAGTTTGTGGTGCCTCCAAAGCAATAATAACATCAAAGATCACTGACTGAGATCACTGTAACACAAATAACAATTATGAAAAAGTTCAAAATACTGAGAGAATTACCAGAATGTGACAGAACACATGAGGTGAGCATATGCTGTTGGGAAAATGGAGATGTTATACTTGCCAGGTGCAGGATTACTACAAACCTTCAATTTGTAAAAAATGCACTATATATCAAGTACAGTACAGTGAGATGTAATAAAACAGTGTATGCCTGTAGTATTATCTGACTGGATATTTACTATCTACAGAAGCATCTGAATTATACCATTGGATCTTCGCTTCAATTAAGTTGGTATCTTAACCACTTAGGTCCAATTGCCTCTCTCTATATACAGTCCTCTGTGTCTGTGGATTCTGCATCTGTGGTTCAACCAATTGTGGATCAGAAATATTTAGAAAACAATAAAATGTATGGTTGCACCTGTACTGACATGGCAGACTTTTTTTCCTTGTAATTATTCTCTAAACAATAGCATGTAACTTTTTATAAAGTTTATATTATATTGGGCATCATAAATAATGTCGAGAAATTGTTTAATAGGTATTGGGAAGTGATTTAAGTCATGAGGACTCTGCACTTTATGGATTAGTGCCTTATAAAAGGGGCTGCAAGGAACTGGCTTAGATCCTTTTATTCTTCAGTCTCATCCACCATGTAAAGACGACTCAGTATTTCTCCCTCAGGAAGATGTAGCAACAAGGTGCCATCTTGTGAGCAGAGAACAACCCTCACCAGACACCAAACCTGCTAATGCCTTCATCTTGACTTCCCAGCATCTAGACTGTAAGGCTTGCTTATTTATTTATTTATTTATTTATTTTATTTATTTGAGGACAGGATCTTGTTGTGTTGTCTTACCTGGTCTTGAACACCTGGCCTTAAGCAATGCCTCTCTCTCTCTCAGCCTATAGAGTAGCTGGGATTACAGGCACAAGCCACCATGCCCAGCATAGATTTCTATTGTTTTTATACATTACTCAGACTGTGGTATTTTGTTACAGCAGTTGGTTACAAGTCACCAACTGTCTCTTATTTGGAAGACAGAAATAATGCAGTTGTCATCATCCTCATTTTAATCTTACAGTGCTTCTTTTAAAATTGTGTCCCTAGATCTTTAAACTGATTTAAAGGCAAATACGTAAAATGTTCTACTCACACAGTTTCTCACTTTCTATGGAGAATTATTTATATTAGCCTTTTACTATGTAGTAAGGTAGGCTGACATTCACATGATTGTGTATGGATAACCCCTTTGCATGTCTATAGTTGCAGATACAGAATGAAATTAAAATCATTGCCTAAGCTAACACATTTGTTTTAATTAAGACGAGTAGCTATAGGCTAGGTAGGATGGCTCACACTTGTAATCCCAGCACTTTGGGAGGCTGAGGCAAGAGGATCGCTAGAGCCCAGCAGTTGAAGACCATGGTGAAACCTCATCTGTAAAAACTGCAAAAATTTGCCAGGTATGGTTGTGCATGCTTATAGTCTCAGCTACAAGTGGCTGAGGCAGGAAGATCACTTGAACCCAAGAGGTTGAGGCTGTAATGAACTGTGGTCACAGCATGGTAATTGGATGACTTGTTTACTTATTGGAAATAGATACTGAAGGACTGGGTTGAGACTGTGATATAGTTTGGACCTTTGTCCCCTCCAAA